CCCCCTTCACTCCCATAGCTCCCTTCACCTCCCCGCACAAGTCCCCCAGCACCCACACCTGCCCATTAGCGCCTTCATCAGCCGCCCACCAGCTACCCCAGCCCTCCACAGCTCCCTTCACCTCCCCCTTAACTCCCGCCTCCAGCCTCCCTTCACTCCCGGCCCCCCGGGAGCCGCGCCCATGGCCCCGAGCCGCCACCCAACGCTCACGCCGGCGTCAGCTGCCAGCGACCAGCTCTGGCTGCCCTTGCGGATCTCGTCCAGGGCCCAGGCCCGCTCCCAGACCGGCTCAGCGCGCTCCATGGCAGAGCCCTGCCTGCGCTGCGCCCCGCCCCGGCCAGCCGTCAGCTGAGCCCGATCATGTGACCCGCCCCACCACGTGGTCAAGCAGCAGCCGCTGCTTCTGGTTATTGGATAGATGCCCTTCAGCCCCGCCCCCGGGGTCACTGACCCCGCCCCTTCCCCCCGCCGAGCGCACTGCACCCACGCTGACCTCCCCTCCCGTAGGGGCTTATCCACCCCAGGCCCTGCAGGGCTGATCCTCCCCCTCCCCCCGCCAAGGGATCACAACCCCTCTCTCACACTCACTCACCCTCCCCGCCCTGCCACCGGGGATTACTGACACCCTGCAGACTGCTGGGGTTCATCCACCCCCTGCATTCACCTTCCACCAGGACTCTTTCACCTGGCACATCCCAGCTCCCCTTACGGTTGACAACTTTCCAGTCACACAAAATGGAACACCATAGCCCCGCCCCTTCCCTGAGGCCCGTCCTGCTCACTACATTCCCTCTCACTCCTTGGCTTGCTCTCCCCCACCCTCACTGGGCTGGGGCAGGGGATTGAGATGTGGGAGGGGGTGAGGGCTCTAACTGGGGGTGCAGGCTCTGGGGTGGGGCCAGAAATGAGGGGTTTGGGGTGGAGGAGGGGGCTCTGGGCTGGGGAAGGGGGATTCTGAGTGTGGGAGGGGGCTCCAGGCTGGGGAAGGGGGTTGAGATGTGGGAGGCAGGGCCGGCTCTAGGCACTAGCAAAACAAGCAGGTGCTTGGGGCGGCACATTTGCAGGGGGCAGCATTCGGGCCATCTTTTTTTTTTAACTCACTTCCTCCCCTCTCACAACCCTGCAGAAGCGGAGCCCCAGAGCAGCTGGGGATCCAGCATGGGAGCTGAGAACCCATGGGACCCTGGGAGCTGTAGTTCCTTGCCTAGCTCCCTGCTTATAGAGCCAGCCCTGGAGCAGGGAAAGAACTACATTTCCCAGCAATCTCTTGGCAGCTATCAACAGGAAAGGGAGAGGTAGGGAGTGAGGTAGCTGAGCCATGCTGCAGCTTGCTGTGAGTCAAAAGGGGTGGCACTGTGAATGGGGAACAAGTGTGCCCAAGGAATAGAAGGCATTGCCCCAGATATCCCCTTCAGAAGACTTTCCCAGACTGGATTAGGGATACTGGTGTGACCTCACCTTGCAGCCCCCAAAGAAGGAATTGGGTGAACTAAATGGACAGTGCCCCTCTCTATCTGAAGCCTAGCAAGGGAGGTTCCTGGATCCCACTAGAATTTAAAATGAAAAGTAAGGGAGGGGAGGCTCTGCACCTGGGCAGCTTTAGATACAGTACCAGGCACTTAGGAGGATTTCCACTTCTGAGCCATGGAAGCAGAAATTGACTTTTCCTTTCCAGATTTAGCTAATATTCAGAAAGGGAATCTAGCACCTGCCTTCCAGATTTGAACACCCTCAAAATTCAGGAGTGCTCAAGCTCAATTCAGGCAGCTGTTAACTTCATTTCTCCCAAATCAAATATACTGATCCACTGTAACTTGCTGTAGAAAAAGTAGGATAAAATTGAGCAAGAAATGCTTCCCAGTAGTTTTTAGGACTGGAATTGCTATTTTCAATAGTCATTGCCTTTTCTTTTTTCTTTAGTTTTATTTGTTTAAAAGGAAGACAGTGATTGCATTGGCAAATTCTCCATAGAAAGAGAGAGTGGAACAAAAGAATAATAAAGGCACCTCAACTTTTCCTCATTTATGGATAGTCTTATAATATGCATCCAGATATCCTCCAATCACACAAGCTGAAAATTGTTCGACTTTACTGCAGTTCTGTAACCATATGGGAACCAATCCTGTCTGTGTTCTGTGCACATCCAAAATTCCTGCTGAATGACCCGCCCTGGGAGCGAGTTACCAGTGACCCAGGGCTGGGACAGCAGGAGGGTGCAGGTTGGGGGAGAGCCCAGGGCTGGGGCGGCAGAGGGGTGGGGGAGAGCACTGGTGGGGGGGGAAAGCGGGGAGCCCAGCGCTGGGGCAGCAGGGGGTGTGGGCGGGAGAACCCAGGGCTGGGGTGGGGGGCAGCCAAAATTTTTTTTTGCTTAGGGCAGCAAAAAACCTAGAGCCGGCCCTGGTGGGAGGCAGAGGTGAAAGTAAGCCAGTACAGCATACCGCACCACCGGAGCCCCAGGCACTTTAAATCACCGTGGGAGACCTGCCGCTACCCCGCAGCAGCCGGAGCCCCAGACCCTTTAAAGCACTGCCCGAGCCTGGCTGCTGGAGCCCCGGGTTAGCGGCGACAGGGCTCTGTTGGTGATTTAAAGGGCCCAGAGCTCTGCTGCGATAGCGGCGGCCAAAGCCCTGGGCCCTTTAAATCGCCCCTGAGCCCAGGGCTCCCAGCTGCCTCTGCAGCTGGTAGCTCCGAGGATGATTTAAAATTATTCTTATGAGCTTTCAGTGCTCTCCACACTCTCCAACATTAAGTAATGGAGCAGGCTGCCTCTGGTAAGTTCAGTTAATCTTCATGCTCATTCAGTATGGCCTCGAGCCAATAAGCTTTATGTCCGTAAACGCCTGCACCTGCAGAGAGCCTCACTGACTTCAGTACAGGATTGGAGCCTATATTTCTTATGTACTTTGTTCCTGAACAGTTGCGTCATCCCTTTGCCAAGTAGCTGCAGATTTTGGGGCCTTGCTGGTTGTTTTCCAGTGGAGAAGAAATCAGCCCTGTTCACCCCTGGATATGCTTTTTAAAATACCTGATGCTTGGTGCAAACTGGCACAAAGTATAAACATTTGCTAACACAGTAGGTCAACTTCATGCCCACTGAAGGGAAAAGCAGAGCCTTTGAAACATTTCCACTACCCGCCATTGCCCTATTTGTGGACAGAACTTTCAGAAGGTCAGCACAAAGGCAACTTTCTGTTTGATTTAAGACTGTTTTCTTTTACATCTTTCTGTTGCATCATGCAAAAAGAAGCGATAACACGGACTATCACCTGTTGGTCTAATATCATGCTCATCTGAGAGGAATTCAAAATTACATAAGTTGGGTTTTTTTATTTGATCTAGGTGTCATGGACAGGCAGATTTTGATTAGACAATATCAATTAAAAATGCCCCCATGCATCAAGACTCATTAAACACATCACTGTTCCTTATATGCCCAGATGATTGCAGGAAAAATAGCTTTCAATGGCAACTGACAGACCAGTCTATTTCCTTTTCTGTATGTATAACACACATTCCAGGCTATTAAGGATCCTCAAGAAATCTAAAACCTATAGTACATCTTTTGCTTGCCCTGCTTTCCAGTGGAAGATTTTAAAATGATCATCACCACCAAGACTCTTACCCAGCTGATGCCCACTTTGTTGATTCATCATTGCCTCCTGAACTATAAAACTGTGTTGGTTCTGTCTGCTCTAGATCATAAGTACCCACATCAGTGTAAAACCATAGCCTTATGGAACAAAATCTGGCCTGGAATCTCTTGAATCTGGAGTAAAATAAGTTATACATTTTAAAAGAATCTGTAAAGGTGAATATCAGATTAATTCTCTGTCTCAGAAGCTAACACTGCATGTACAGGAAATAATACATTTCACTTCTACCCAGCTCAATCTTTAATTAAACCTCACAACACCCCTGACAAGTATGTAAGTAATTGTAAGTGAGGGATTTGCCCAGAAAGTCAATGTCAGAGCCAGGAAAGGTCCCATGTACTCTCCCTTAATTCATTATCAAACTTTGGAATAAGAAACTGCTGGCAATGATGCCTCCTCTGAAATCTCTAGGACCCTTGACACATAGCTGTGGGACTGTAGAGTATTGCCATTCTTCTGAGCATGACGTCTGCTCCCCCTTTTGTAAGCAATCGTGTCTAGAAGACTATCCAAAAAGGTTTGATTGCTTTGGCGTGTCCTGTTAGCTGGGGTTGGTGGTGCAGACCCAGAGAGCGTGTGTGACTGACATAACTTTTACAAACCGGCTGGCCAGGGCTGACATTCTTGGTTTGCAATTGGAGCTTTCCTTCTCCTGCGTGGATGTCCTGCCATGGCTGGAGAGTCCCACCTGCTTGACAGAGATACCAAGAGATGAAGTGACTTGCCCAAGCAAGGTCCACGACACAGTCAGGGACAGATCCCAGGTCTTCCGAGTCCCAGTTCTGTACCTTTGCCCCTGGACCATGAGGCTTCCCCACCACCCCAAAAAGCATGTGATATATACTTATCATGGGAAGATACTGGGCCAAGATGGCTGCCAGTTCATGTTTTATTTATGCCTTAATCCAGCAAAGCACTCAAGTATGTGCTTCACTTTAAGCACATGGTGTAGTTTCCATGGAGACAACGGAACTACTCATATGTTTAAAGCTAAGTTTATACTTCAAGGCTTTACTGGATCAGGGCCCTAGGGCGGGGTGGGCAAACTACGACCCGTGGGCTGAATCCGGCCCGTCAGGGCTTTGGATCCGGCCCTCGGGATTGCACCCCCAGGGCTAAGGCTAAGGGAACTGCTGTCAATGGGAGCTGTGGGGGGCAGTGTCTGCAGGTGAGGGCAGCGCATGGAGCCCTCGGCCCCCCTCCCCCAGGGCTCGCAGGGACGTGGTGCCAGCCGGTTTTGGGATCACCGTGGGGCCAGGGCAGGCAGGGAGCCTGCCTTAGCCTCGCTGCGCGCTGCTGCCACCCCGGAGCTGCTCAAGATAAGCATCGCTGGGCCGGAGCCTGCACTCCTCCTGCATGCCTCACCCCAACCCCCTGCCCTGAGCTCCCTCCCCAAACCCTACATTCATGGTCCTGCATGCAATTTCCCCACCCATCTGTGGCCCAAGGGCCAAAAAGTTTGCCCACCCCTGCCCTAGGGGCTGATCCAAAAACTGCTGAAGTCATTGGGAATGTTTCCATTGATTTCAGTGGATTTTGGATCGGCTCACTGATCTACCAGAGTCAACGTTTCCCCTGCCAACTGACCTAGACTTCAGTCATACCCACTGATGTGATTTCTGAGCAAATATTTGAGTTATTTATGTACATTCAAATTTCTCAGCATTAGGCATTGCCAAAAACTTGTTCTTATCTGGTTTATAAATCTGCCAAAAACACA